TCATGGAGTATCTTAATTTGTGCAAGCATTGTGTAGTTTATACATTTGGAAAATGGTATCCAACTATCCATTGGTTAAAAAGGTTTTCATAATTGCCATCCGTATAACTTACAAGCTTAAGAAGCTATGACTTATTGTTGTTTCTGAATTTTTTTGGATGTCTTCTACTCACTTCTACCTCGCTACCACAACTTCAAGTACATGTGTTAGCTATTAGTGAGTATGCCCATTACTCTCTTCATCCCAAAAATAAGATTGTGTTTGATCAGTCACACCTATTAGAAAAGCGAAATAGATTTATTTAGAAAGAGAAATAATATGGACATCTTTCTTTCCTTAAAATTAAACAGGAACCATGATTTGAAATGGACAAAAAAAAGGATAAAATGAATTTCCTTTTAACCTCAACATACCATTATCCATGCAAATATAATACGTAATACTATTCAATGGGCCATGAAATAACAACAATGAACAACCTGGTATAATCTCAACTTCTTTAATTACCATGCAAAAACAGTGAGACCCTTACTGCTTATTTAGTTTTGTGTTGACAGCTTGTATTTTCACCTTTTTCTCCATTCAAATGTTGTTCGGTTTTCTTCGACCTCTCAATAGAAGATTAACTTATTAGCAAGTTATATTCATTCATTATTATTTCTTCACTTTCTGTAATGTATCTGTAAATATCTTTCAATGTTCAATTGTATGTGTACCAGGGACCATACTTGATTTTTTTTCTTAACATTTCTGGTTGTTCTCAGTGAGCTATCCAAATTTGCCGCTTCTATTTCTCTATGGTAGTTCAATGTTAAAATTCTATGCATACTTGTGTTATTCAGAGTATATTATTATTATTACTATTATTGTTATTGAACAATATCTTACAGAGCATTAAATACATGTAGGTGGGAAGAGGCTAATATTGTGCGGATGGAGATGAAGGACATAGGGATAAAAAAGGGTGCAGGTTGCAGCTGGATAAATGTTAAAAACTGTGTGCATGTTTTCCGAGCAAAGGACACATCTCATGCAAAATACCCTGAAATTCTTGCAATGTTGGGCAAGCTAAAGAGAGATATGAAAGCAGCAGGTTATATCCCAGAGACTAATTTGGCTCTCTATGATCTAGAAGAGGAAGAGAAGGAATATGAAGTTTCGTATCACAGTGAGAAGCTTGCCCTTGCGTTTGGTCTCATTGCTATTCCTCCTGGAGTCCCCATACGAATAACTAAAAATCTCAGGGTTTGTGTTGATTGCCATAGTGCTATAAAGTTCATTTCAGGCATTGTAGGAAGAGAAATTATTGTGAGAGACAATAACAGATTTCATCACTTCAAGGACGGTGTCTGTTCGTGCAAAGACTACTGGTGATGCTGACCAATGGGAAAGAATGCTAGTTACGTTTGAATGATGTTTCAATGAAGACTAGACCCCTGTAAGTTATCAAGAACAGAAAAGAAGAAACGTAAACCCACTTGCATAATGTTTCAGGCTGTACAACACTCCATGGAGATGATTGATTGAGCCAAGATTGCACAAAGCAAATCAGACTTTGCCATTGAGTCCGGAACAAATAAAGCCGAGTGTAATGGCATGGCTTTCGGGGGATGCGCTGTCTACATTAGCGTGTGATAAGGCCATTCTTGAAGAGGACTTGGCTCAATTCTCAACTAGTTCTATACAAACTCTAAGGCCTTGCCGTGCTTCTCTCAGGCCGTCCATCTTGAAAACAAGAAACACCCCAACGACCTCATTGGGCTATTTTGGTTGGTTCACCAGGGAAGGATATATATAGACAATACGCTTGATGTATACAAGAGGTGTGGGGTGCTGTGATGGCCATTAATTTTTTTCTACTACATATTTGACCGTGGGGTGTTGTGATGGCCACATGGTGCCACCTCATCCCCATAACGCCGTCGAACATCCAGCACCGTCCCCCATATGTGACCGTGATAGAGGTGATGTCTCTCACGGCCAACACCGCTTTATTCCCCTCCCCAAATTAGTTTTTTCAATGCTAGTTTCCCCCTTTTTTTAGTGATTTTTTTGTTTTTCCATCCTCTCCCCACTTTATTTAAATAATCTTCTCCAACTTTTGTCTATTTGCGACAATTTTCTTTCTTAATCGACATAATCTTTCCTTTTTAATTTCTTTTAAATAAAGTGAAAGAGCTACATCATTGTCAAATTCGGAGTGCGGTTCGAGATATACGCCATGAAATGTCATGTGATTCCTATTGAGAAGGGATTGCTTGCTGAACCAAGTTCGGTGCTTTGACGTAGTTCAAGAGGACCGAACAAACTTATGGTACGTTCTATACAACTTATTTTTTCTGCTCATTACTCATTCTTATTAAATTTTAAAAATAATATCAATATTTTGTCAAGGATTAAATAATAATTACTATTTCATTATATGACATTACTTTATTTAAAGATACATACACCTAAATATTAATTACAAAATGATTTTTTTGACATTAGAACCTCACACCACATTATTTTCTTATGCCAGAACATCTAATTAAAGGTTCTACGCTTCCACATCAAGCCAACTGCAAAACCAACTGCATTGGAATGATAAAACACCCAACCTGCCATGCATATATATATATATATATACATATATATATATATATATATATACATACATACATATACATACATACATATATATATATATACACACACACACACACAGATATATATATATATATATATATATATATATATATATAGTGATTGGAATATTTACTAACATAACTACAGAAATAATAATTCCTTGCAATGCAATTACATGAGGTCTGCGTACACACACCCTTCCCAGACCCTACTGTAGTGGGATCCAACTGGGTTGTTGTTGTTGTTTGTTGCAATGCAATTACATGCATGAAATAATGATAACTTTCTACTTGTAAGTACAGTAGAAATAGTCATATAAGGAAGAAATAAATTATTTCCATTCCATAAGGAGCATATTAATGTGAAATTTAAAACATAACAATTTTGACTATGAAAAAAAAAGCTAGACAAAGACCATCAACTAGGAAGCATCCTCAGGAAACATAATGCCTCCTGTCCTAACTTGTTGCCAATGAATTGACAAATATATTATTTTTTAACAGCATTCAAAGCATTTGGCTTCTATGCCTTTCACTGAAAGACAGAGAGCCAATAATTCGTCTCTGGCTGCGGCTTCCACTTCTTCGTCGACGCAGTGGGGCTCCTGTGGCTAAGGGATGAAACTACGCGCAGTGTACACATAGAATCCCACACTGAGTCCCTCAACTCCGGCGACGGCAATCCATAGTTTGTCACGAGGAAGGAGGATTTCAAGGAGTACGGCCCCAGAGCGGCCTGTGAGAAGGAAGTCGGCTGAGAAGCTCATGTAGTCCCTGAAAAACTTCAAATTCTTCAAAACAAAGGAATCTCTTCTGTGGGGGTGGGGTGCGAGCAAGAAATTGATAGACCATTTGATGGAGAGGAGAGCTGCAAGTGCTGAGATCAGATTAAAGGTGCCAACGAGTGCTTCCCAGAGGATGTCGAAGTCGTAGCTGCCCACTCTCTTATGAGCTAAAACCAAGGCCGCATTCCCAGCACACTGAAGGCCCATCACAGCAATCAAAACAATCTTCTCCCTCTTGAGCAGATACGGCTTCAAGAACTTCCATCCACTGGCAATCAAGAGCACCAAAGTGTAAAAAGAGAGGCCCTTCAGGAGACTGAAGGTGTAAAACCAAAGCTCCCAAGCATCACCAGATCCGGTTCGCATGATACGCCACTCATCCTGGCCCTGGCAAAACATGTTCAAGGCACTCAATAGCACCACGGCCAGCATAAAGTAATGAACCCCAGAAGCATAGGCCCTGTGCACGGACAGCACGCGAACCCAAACCGCAACCAGAACCAGATAAACCAAGGAAAAGAGGTAGTAAACCAAAGGTAATGTGGTGCAAGTGAGATAATTGCGCTTGTCGTCCTCCTCCAAATTGTACATGGAAGAGCGAACGCGCATGGATACGTTCATCTGCTGAGGGCAATTAACGAAGAGGAGAGTGCAGAAACCAGGTTTGGTGTCCGAGTAGACGAAATTCAACTGCGAGGTGTTGAGATTGGGGAGCTGGTCGAATGTGAGGACCTTCTGCAGGTTATCCGCTTCTAGAGGGCAAACAGTGGAGTTGAAGTCGTCGACTGAAATTAAGAAACCGCCGTGCCGCTGGATGACAAACCCCACTTTCGAGAGGTTGGCCGGCGGCAAGAAGGAGAGGCCGGTGATGTTGAGCTCCAGCCGCCCGGTCTGGGTGAACATGAAATCGTCCAAGGGGGTGAAGAAGCTGTTGTCCATACTGATCTCGCTGTGCCGGATTTCGCCGGCTGCTAGATGATATGCAGCCGCAGCAGCAAGCGCGATTAGTAGTAGTAGTAGAACACGAAGATGGCTAACCTTGGAGTAGTACATCTGCGGCTGCCTGTGGGAGACGAAATCCAACCAAACAATTGACTTCTGGAATTCTTATTGATCGCAAATCAAAAGTCACAGGATTCCCAAGAACGAGAAGAAGAAGAATAGAAAGAAGAAGCAACGAGTTGTTGTTGAGCAGTTATAGCCTATAGTCCGGACTGAAATTCTCTCTTCTTTAGAGTTCTACTTGTCCTCCACATCCCGTCTCTTTCTTTCTTCCTTTTTCAAATTAAAAAATTAAGTTTTTCTCTTTTTTCTTTATTTTAAACAATTTATGTTGATTCTCTCTCCTAATACTATGGTCCCGTTTCGCATCAGCGTCAGAAGTTAGTGTTAGCATTTTGAAAAAGCTATTTAACGGTAACCTTTAGCGCTAGCGTTTTCAGAATTATTCTGCTTCGTTAAAATTTTATCCAAAACGCTAACGTTAATGAAAAACGTTGTTACCAAACAAAGCCCATGTCGAGAGCCCTTATTCTTACCATTTAAAATTTAGTTCGGGTACAATATTTATACAATACTCTTATGGGGTATCTCGTGTTCGTAGTGGCGGATGCACTCTAAGAGCATCTCCAACCCATAGTAGAAAAAATGATAGTGTAAAATTTATTTTACACTAACAACAGTTATTTATTATTTTAAGTTATTTATATGTTTAATTTTTGGTTTAATTATAATCACATTTATGATGTGCCTAACGTAACCAATCTATAAATAATATTCTTAGTATCATTTAAAACTAAATATTGAAATAATTATTTAAACATTTGGTTTGCACCATCTTGTATATATACAAGTTGGGAATTCCTTTTCCACTATAGTGTTTTCTAACCTTTGGTTTACACTATCCATTGGAGTCTCGAAAAATGAATAGTACTCCGTATATTGCATATAGTGTAAATTTTACCATATACACTATGGGTTGGAGATGCTCAAATCGAATTGGGGGCATATGCCCCCTATTCATTTTTTGCAATAATATAATTTTTTTAATTTTGTGTATATATGCCCAACAAAAATTAATGTGACCCCACCTAATTAAGCTAAATTTAAATTTTTTGTTATGTTTTTTAGTAAAGTATATTTTATTGTATATAATTAATTATTTACGAATTCAAATTTCACATTACCTATTTAAAAATGTTTTACATTCAATACATGTTAGAAAAAATTCATTAATGCATGTTCCGGGCTAGATCCGTCACTGCATGTTCATTAAATTGATTGTTCCTACTAGGGCTATACAAAATCCAGGTTGGATCGGAAAACCAGATCAGAAAAACTAGTTCCATGTTAGACCGATAAAATTTCAGACTGGTCTCCAGTCTAAAGATTTTGGACCAGTAAAATTCTTGTCCATCCAGCTAAGACCAGATCATTTCTAGTCAGACCGGTAAGACCGAAATGTCTATTATTTTTTTCCACGGTAAAGCAAGTTTTCCTTTTCTTTTCTTTTTTTTTGTAATCTATTATCCCATTTTATCTAGTCTTGTCTTACACGGTCTACATGCATCTCAGACGTTTCTCGGCTAGGAGACAAGAGTAATCTCTCTTTTTTTTTCAGATTTAGAAATTGGGAAACAAATTCCCAGTTTGTCCTTTTAGTATTTTGTCCTTAAAATTATGACCGTTTTTGTGATTTGAATTCTAAAAAATTGATTTTTCCATTTACAAAATGAATTTTGCTTGAGTTAGACTTTAATTTTTGGTTTTCAATAAGAACATATTTTTCTTTATTCGTATTTATTGTAATTGTAAGCAAGTATGATTATTTTTATTTTTGATTTTACAGTACAATGAATTTGGTTGTATAGTATGCGCGGAGTATAAATCATTAACTTTGATGATTCCTTGTTCGCATATTTGTGAATATGAACATCTATATTATAAGACGCATTATAAGATTAGGAAATGTTCAATACGCGTAGGTATCCGTACGCCTATGCCAAAGGTTTAAAACGCCGTGTGTTATAAATATCTAACAGACGAGTCAGAATCCAAATCCACAAAACCAAATTAGGGTCGGCCTTAACAAAAGAGAGAACACAAAGGAAGAAGAAGCAAACTACTACTATTACTCTTCACCATTTAAGATGACTAAACAAAAATTAAGGCCGTACATTGTTATTTATAGAACTATTTTTTTCCAAATCGGTATTCACCTAAGGTTAATTTTATATTGTTTTACGAGTGAGAGTAAAGATAAGGTTGGAAATATTAGGTTTAGATGTCTTTAGTAGTCTTTACAGCATCACAAAATGTCCTAATTATTAGATTGGTCGCTTCAACAAGTTACAAAAATGTGGTGGACAAACGGGCAACAAGCTGCGCTGCAATGCACTTTCGAATAGCAAACCTCATATTACTAAAAACAAAGTTCTGAGCCTTAAGGTTCGAGATATTACTATGCACGACCCTCTGAACCCTACTAAGAAATTCCAAAACAATTGGGGCAAGAGAACCAAACGTATCAAAAGCAAATGGATAAAAACATGTTGATTTTCCAAGCAAGTTTTCTCGTGTTTAGCCATGCGCTTTTCCTACTCCACCTTCAAAACTGTATGGCCAACAAAAAACCCATTTTCTCTGAGCCCAATAAGAGGAGACATATCAGTAAGATCCACACAATCGTTTTTCTCCCAGCCCACCCAAACACAAGAATATTGGCAAGTCGTAGAGTACATATCCCTTCAATTAGATTCATCAGAAAGTTCACATATTAGAGCCTTCTTCTTGGCCCAAAATCTCTATCCTCTTTGGAACGTCATATAGAACATCACTGATAAAACCAGGTATCCAAGTAACTTCTTGCAACATGCCGCATGCTCACCGACCAAAAGTATCTTGTGGCAATCTCGGGAAGACTAATCAACTAGAAATAGAGGAACACGAATAAATCTACGAAACTGACAGATCAATTGAGCAGAATTTAACAAGATATTCAAAATACTAAAAAGAAACCAGAACTGCAACATCTATGCAGATAGCATGAGGGAAAAAAAAGGTACATTCTGCAAGAGAATATTGTACACTTATGTTTCCGAAAGATAATCATCGGTTAAAGAAAGCAGGCGGTCAGGGGAAATCAAGCATCTATATCAGGCAACCAAAGTTTTTCGTCGCAAACCTGATTCCCTGTCGAAATAATTACCTGTTCGGTCATCTTTCCACATCACATAGCCATGGAAGAAAATTGATCAGTCAGAGCATAAATACAAAGCCTCAGTTCCAATAAAAGGACTTATTAGGCTGCAGATCCCTCTTTCTATTCATTGTGTGATTATGGGCTTATGGAAAGTGAGAAGATGCATCAGAATTTCAAGAGAAAACTCACTCCAAACGCGAAACCTAAAATTTGCTCATGACTAAAAGAACAGGCTTCAAACATAAATAGTAGGCCATAACATGCAGGCAATGTAACCCATAGACATTAAAGAAACCTCACAAACAATGTTGCTTATAAGAGAACATTTTAATCACATGATTTAGATATCCTACATATAATGCATAGTAAAATGAGGCTGATAACAGATCTTTTCAGTCAGATTACAGATGAGTTGTCAAAGATCACATATTCCAACTTCGGCTAAAAAAACTGGATCTAGGAGCAGTCAGGAGTATGTCAAGCACAAATAGTCTGGCATCATCAACAGAGTCCTATAGGTGAGATAATTAATGTAAAGACTGGCTATATTTTGCTGGTCATTAAAGCGAATTCACATATCACACCGATTTATCTCTGGTGGCCTAGGTATAAGTGTCTCAGTTTGAAACATGGTACCAAGAACAATAAACTTGAATCAAATATCAAACAAACAAAGAGACTGCCACTATGTCAAAACATGGGGAAAAGCCCCAAGTCCCCAACAGATTGAAATCACACAAAGTTGCTTTGCGGGGTACTAATGGACAAGCACAATACAGTACCAACTAGCAACGTGAACATGCTAAACAAACAAGATGTCACATCAATTATGGGCAAAGCAGCAAATGGAAAAGGCCAAACAGACAATGCAACATTAATAGTTTAAAAGATGCATCCAAGACAATCAGTGAATCACCTTTCAATCCTGCCTTTGTGGTGGTAATCCGTTCTCCCGTAAATAAGTAGGGAGATCTTCCATGCAAACAACAGCGGAATGAATTATAAGACCTTCAAAATAACCTCCCGAAATGTAAACTGTAAAAAAACAGCACTAAATTAGTCATAAATATTGATTAATATTGAGTAGAGAGAAACGTAAAATTAAAAGGAAAAAACATACCTGTTAGAGTACCACCTGTAGCCTCATCCTCGCTTGCACTATAGCCAATAGCTCGGCTTGCAATTTGAACCGCTCCATGGGAAGAGGTACAGTCTTTCCACCTAAATACCCAAAAACAATTTATCAAAATATTAAATTACTTAACTAAATAAAAAAAAATCAGATAAAAAAAACATTAAAGATAAATGAATACCGATGTTTTTGAAGAAATTCATATGCTTTTCGTCCCCCACTACCAATGCACAACATATCATATTCTGAACTGATGCCATGCGATTGTCCCGCTTTGTCAACAAATGCAATCAAATAATCCTACAAATAACGTTTAATATGTTAGACCATACAAAAAAACTGAAAATCAATACAAAAAATTTAATAAATCACAATTTAAATATTGAATTAAACTTAACCTTTTTCCGCTCTTCATACCCAGCTAAGATAACATTAAATTTATCTTTTGGACTCAAATGACGAACAAGGGAAGTGACTAGGTCAAGTGCATTCTGAAAGGTGTAATTATTATATCCATACTGTTGGACCTGAATGCAGTATGTAATTCATGAAAAAATAAAACAATATTACAATAACATAAACACTAGTAAATACAAAAGTTTTACTAACCTCAGCTCGCAAAGAGTTAACAACGCTAGTGGTGGCAATGTCGGATTGGCCGCTAAACACAAAAAGTACTGTCCGAGAAACCACAAATATCTTTTGAAAATCATTACACACTATATAATAAAATACAAAACCAAAAAAACAAATTAGCAAATGAGATAAACAAGTAAATAAAACCGAGGAAACATCGACTAAAACCAAGTTACCTGTGCGGTTATTAATGTCTACCAGTCTACTATCAGCAGCTAAGCAGAGGGCAGGCCTCTGTGTATGCATGTCTATGTATTTGAACGCTAAGGCGGTGGTACTGCTCCTATGGATATATCCGCCAATATGGATTAATTAATAGAACGCTAAGGCGGTGGCTCTGATAAAACTTAGACATCATATGTTTCAATAGGCTTAACATTCTGATAAAACTTAGACAACATATGTTTCAATAGGCTTAACATTCTGATAAAACTTAGACATCATATGTTTCAATAGGCTTACAACCACAGTTATCGATCACCTCTTAATGAGGACCACTCTGATGTTTCGTTCCACAAGCTTCTTTAATTGATCATACGCCCACTTGTGAACGGGATTTCCCCAAATAATTAACACTAACAAGACATCGTTTCATTGTGCGTAAAAGATATAGATGATCACTAAATAACTCGTATATAATTTCTTAGGGAGAAAAAACAAGAATCATTAAGAAACCACTTTGTGGATAATACAAACGACTCAGTACATAATTAGGAGGCCTTAAAACTGTATTTATTACGCTGCAGATCACTCCAAACGCGAAGCCTAAAATTTGCTCATAACTAAAAGAGCAAGCATCACACATAAATAGTAGGCCATAACATGCAGGCAATGTAACCCAAAGACATTAAAGAAACCTCACACACAATGTTGCTTATAAGAGAACATTTTAATCACATGATTTAGATATCCTACACATAATGCATAGTAAAATGAGGCTGATAACAGATCATTTCAGTCAGATTATAGATGAGTTGTCAAAGATCACATATTCCAACATCGGCTAAAAAAAGATATTGGATCTAGGAGCAGTCAGGAGTATGTCAAGCACAAATAGTGTATAGACTGGCTATATTTTGCTGCTTATTAAAGCGAAATCTAATATCACACCGAATTATCTCTTGTGGCCTAGGTATAAGTGTCTCAGTTTGAAACATGGTACCAAACCCCGGCTCAAAGCCATTCAAACCCCGGCTCCATCCGCTCGCAAATTATATCGTACAGCCGGCTGCACGGGAAGAACCGTACAGCCGGCAGAAATAAGCCGCAGATGCAGGATCGATGAAGTTCGCGAAGAGAGTAGAGAAGCGTCACGATCGAAGAAGCCGGCGAAGGAGAGGCGACGACAAAGGCCGGCGGCTTTATGGAAACCCTACGTGTGACTGAGGACTGAAGAAGTTGAAGAGCAGATGCAGGATCGATTGCGAAGAGGAAGAAGCCGGCGAAGCAGAGGCTACGACAAGGCCGGCGGCTTTATGGAAACCCTACGTGTGACTGAGGACTGAAGAAGTTGAAGAGCAGATGCAGGATCGATTGCGAAGAGGAAGAAGCCGGCGAAGCAGAGGCTACAAGGCCGGCGGCTTTATGGAAACCCTACGTGGGAAAAGTTGAAGAGATGGGCCTAAGAAAAGGGTTCTGAACTATGGTACTCAACTTTTAACTTTTTTATGAAAAAGAATTGAATACTTTAACATTTTAACATTTTAAAATAATCGTAAAATGTTACCTATTTGAAAAAGAATTGAATACTTAAACATTTTGTTTGGTATATAATCCCTCCATCCCATTATATTTGTCCACTTTTATTTTTACACACCATCTAATGCACGTCATTAATTCATTTTATCTTGTAATTTATAATTTAAAAAATTATAGAAATTATATATTAATAATCTATATGTTAAGACAAATCAAACAAGATCACACAACTATATTTAGGCTTACACATTAAGAGAATTTGATGAGTCAAAATGCTTAAATGAACAGTTCCAAAAGTCAAAAGTGGACGAATATAGAAGGACGGAGGTAGTATACAACAAAATAATATTCGCAAAGAAACGAATAACATATTTTTCATACGTAAATTTTATCAAAATTCTACATAAATAAGAAGTGAGGGATCATAGGTGAGGTTATCGCCATTCAAAATTTACTAGCGTGAATATAAGTAGCTAATAGAGGGACACAAAATATTAAGGTGCCCCTAAATGCACAATTGGGATAAAATCATTATTACGGAGTATTATAATGTAGACCTAAATTGGAAAAAGGTTAATCCGAAAGGGTCATTTTGAAAAAAAAATTACTCTACATTTTTTTTTGAATCAATTTTAAATTACTCTAAATTACTCTACATTTAAATGTTGAAAATATCTAAATTTCATCCAATAAACATCCATTTAACAAACATTATTCGAAAAGATTATTTTGAGATTACTCAAAGAAATTTATAATTTATAATTAATTGACTAAAAGACTTATGACAATATTTTCTAAGAGAATTATACGTGTCATTAGTACATATTTTATTTTTAGACAAATAGATAATACGTATACTACGAGATTGACTCAATGCCTATCTTACCTAGGACTTTTGTTTATAGTAAGATGACTAATTATGATATGAAATAAAAATATTTCCATACAATTTGACTATTTTTAAAATATTGAATATTTAAAATAAGAATAAATTCCATAAAAGGTCCCCTAATATAGGTCATTTTAAATATTTAGTCCATACATATCAAATATTACAAATTTAGTCCCCAATTATTATATCATTTTTCACGATTGGTATTTTGTTAACGTTTTTGTTGAGAACATGGATAAAATTGTATATTCATACTTCTCTCTCCTCAATTAAGCATTTTCACTCCTCTCGTATTCTTTCCCAAACTTGTCGCTGAGTTTGAAGCTCTAAACCCAAAACTAAAATGATCACTCCTATCAATTATTAGTCTTCCTGGTGGAACCTAAAATCAAAACTAATAAACTTTATGGATGAGTTTTATCGGTTAGTATCAAGAAATTACAAAGAAAATAAACATTAAAACTCATCCATGAAGATTACTGGTTTCGAATTTCGGTTCCACCTGTTCGACAAACAATTAAGAGAAGAGTGATGATTTTATTTTTGGGTTCAAAGCTTCAAACTCAGCGACGGGTTTGGGAAAGGAGTGCGAGGAGAGAAAGGAAGCTTAATTGAGAAGAAAAAGGAGTGTGAATTTATAATTTTGTCCACGTTCTTAACGAAAATATTAACAAAGGACCATTCGTGGAAATGAATCTAATAATTGGGGACTAAATTAGTAATATTTGATATGCAGGGACTAAATATGTAAAATGACTTATAACTAAGGAGCTTTAATGAAATTTACTCTTAAAATAGACCAATTAGAAAAAGATTTTATAAGACTTTTATACTTTATCTTGGTAACTTTATTTACCGTTTTAATCAAAATAATCTTGTATTATAACTCACGATTTACTGAGTTCATATTTATCACCACCACACTTAGTCTTTTTATCGCCGCCAGCCCCACCACCGTTGGCATCCCCACCATCATCGTCAACCCGGTCCCAACCCTGACTCCTGTACCACCATGGCATAGATCTAAAAAAATGACAAGGAGAAAAGGGCAGTGGTGTAGATCTATAAGAAATAATGAGAAGTAGTATAGATCTACACTCACCATCACGTTAGCGGCCACAACCGCTGCTACCATCGCCGCCACCATAGCTCATATCTGGAAGTAAGACAAAGAAGAAAGGAGGAGGGTAGAAAGACGGAGGGGGAGAGAGAGGAGAAGAGAAGGAAGAGAAGCAATAATCAAAGGAAAGAGAGAGATAGAGAGAGGAGAAGAGAAGGGCTAAGAAAGGAGGAGTATGAAAATGGATGGAGGAAACCAACGAAGAGATGGAGGAGATTTGTCCGTGAAAAAAAGATGGAGAAGTGGAGGAGGAAAGAAAAAGAAAGAAAAGAAGAATAGGAAGAAAAGGAAAAAAAGGAAAGCAAGAGGTTATTTAGGGAGAAGGGTATTTTTGGAAAAATTAGGGTTAAAATTAGAAATGAGAAGATTATTTCCGAACAGAGTGAGTATTAATTTCAAATAGTATTGTTCTTATTATGATTATTATTTTATTATAATTATGGGATTTGCTACCGTACCTTTGCAAATGGAGGGGCATGGATGCCCCTCAACTCAATTGCTGCCATATGGAAGGCAAATTTCGTGGATTAAAAAACAATTCCATATCACTTCAACTTTGAGAAAATATAAAATGGCCCTGCCTCACTCTGTCCCATAATTAATTGATTGTAAAATCATTAATGTTAAATTACTTCTTTTTATGGAGTATTAATTTTTTGAGTACTCTTTTTTTAATATTTTTTAGAAACAATTACATGAATACTTCAAAAAAATTGTAAGCTTTTACCACAATTAAAAGCGTATTAGATATTGATGCAAAAATAATTTTATCAGATGTATTTTATAATCTATTTTCATAATATAACTTTATCTTATTAATATTTTATACGAGTATATATTTTATTTAATTTTAGGTGAAAAGTTTAAAATAGTTGACTGCAAAAAGTCAGAACTGGACAAATACTTAGTGACAGAAGTAGTACATATTCACATTTTTATCCAGCTGTTGCCAACTGAACTAAATACGTGATATTTAAAATGTTAATTAGACAATTAATAAGTATGAGTTGGCAACTAAATACACATGAAATATTACATCTGTCCATAAGTATTTGTTCAATTTTGACTTTTTTCAGTTAACATTTAAAATCTCATGTACGTAGTATTTAGCTGGGTTTGTAGCCACCAGTTAACATTGTAACACGTAGAATTTTCAGGACCTGTAGTATAATTTATTGAATTTTGGATTACTAACGTACACTTACGAATTTTTTGGATTATTCATGTAAATATTTCTAAGAAAATTTACTCGCTCCGTCCTTTTTTATCTTCTCATTTTGAACAACATGCAAAATCTTATCTTTTTTAAAATTACCTTTATTCGCAAATTGTTATATAAAAAAGTAACATTGTTCAAAACTACGTCAAAAGTTCAACAAAATAAGATGTGACAAGAATATTTTATCTTATCAAATGATAAATGAAAATATGCAAACAAATATTTCTTTCATTCCAGTGTATTTGTCTACTTTGACTTTTTGGAGTCAAACATGATGAACTTTAAGATTTATAAAAACAAAAATTTAATGTAAATTTGTTAGGAAGCCAATTCAACCAAAAGCTCAAGTTTGTGTTTTTGGCCCATAAATAATTTTATAAACTCTAACACGCCCCTCGCGTACAGGCATGCCTTTTTTAAGTCTTGCATGTGAAACTTTAATTTTTTTAAAATTGAGTAGCAGTGAGTTTCAAACTCGTGACCTCTTAGTCATTAAAGCTTTGATATGATGTCAGGGAATCAATTTAACCAAAAGTTTAAGTTTGTGGTTGTGGCTCAAGAATGATTTTATATACTCTAATAATATTAGTATAAAAATGATTTTTCTTAGATTTATTTTAATGAGAACTTTCAAAATTTTACTCACTCCGTCTGCAGAAAGACTTTCCATTTTGATTTGGGGCAAAAATAAAGAAGTGTTAAATTATACGGAGTAGTTGATTTCCAATTTTGTCCTTGATGTGATGGGTAAAAGTAAGATGTGATGGATAAATTATTAGAGAAAAAATATGATGTGATAGGTAGGGTATGAAAAAGTAGGGGTAAAAGTAGTTTTTTAATTGAAAGGCGAAGTATTTTGTTGGAAGTGAAAAAAATGAAAGAGGAAGTATTTTGAGAACGGAGGGAGTACTTTATTGTACTAATATACAATACAAATTGAGAACAATTCAAACTTAAATTTTATCCAATTTGACTCTAAAAAGTCAAACTGAAAAAATATACAGGGACTAAGACAATATAAGTTATTAAAAATTGAATTGAGTGAAAAACTTTTTAACGGTTAAAATAATACTCCATAAAAGATTAGTAACTTAACATTAAGTGGAGAGGACCATTTTGCAATTTCTCGAAGCTAAAGTGATATGGAGTATGAAATGCTTTATCAATCCACGTAGTAGCAATCCACGTGGCGGCAATTGGATGGAGGGGCATCCATGCCCCTTTATTTGGGAAGGCACCGTAGCAAATCCCTATAATTATATTAGTAATAAATATTTTTATTTATTCTGGCCAGAACATAAAACCCGAGGTAGTCCGGTAAAAGTGACCGACTAGTTTAGTAGTATTTCTATTCTTCTTCAACCGTATCCTTTTTCTCTGCCTTTTAGAAACCATATCCTTAATCTAGGGCGCTTTGATCCTGCTCGGTTCAAGCAAGGTTTGATTTTCTCTTACGCTCTCTGTCGTCTCCTGCGTCAGATCTAGTACAATATTTATGTTTCCGCTTTGTAGTCGTTTGATACATTAGGGTCACGTTTGTGATATTTTAGCTCCGGTTGATTTTTACGAAGTCTGTGAATTTTTTTTTTAGGGTTTTTGTTGTTGATTGATTGATTTCTTCTAGCATGTTGTTGGTTTGAATCTCCTTTGGGATAGGTATATGGGCTTTGATTGTGATTCTCTTCTTTCAAAGCTGCTGCCTCAGAGGAAATACCGTGAAACTGTGGTTTTGTTGGGTTCAATATCCTTGGTTTTTTCAACGGTTCTGATAATCTGATGTACGTAAACAGAACAATTTTTTTAACCTTTCCAATACAAAAGATGGAATCTGGGGACTTGATTGTTTTGAACCAGCAGAATTTCACTTCACCTACTGCAGTGTATTAAGTGATTGGAATTCTGTAATCACGTTTTTCACCTAATTTTTCATAATTTTATCCACGGAGACATGCAATGATGATATATAGGCTTTTGCCCTTATTGAAGATATGGCCTTAGACATGAGTTTGGTGAGCTACGATTAAAGTAGTTGGAAGGCGCCTTGGGCTATAGGATAGTTTCGTGTACCTGTTGCGTGCTTTGTATTAGCTCTAATCTGTTCATTAGACCTGTTGGTGCTCTTTGAGTGCATTACTCTTCTTTCATTTGCTCTAATCTGTTCTTTGCCTATTTGTGCTATGTGTTTTCATGTGCTTTCTCTATTTTTATGTATTCCATGCGATTGTTTTGTTTGTGCAGCTTGAGCCGGGAGACTCTTAAAAAAAGAGCCTCTCTACTTTTAGTACTACTAAGGTCTGTGTACACACACACCCTCCCCATACCTCACTCTCGTTAGATCCAATTGTTGTTGTTGTTTCTGTTGCTGTTGATATTCTAAAATTCTCAGATCTGTAGATTACTTACAGTGTAACTGCTAATGTTTTTCAACAGAAAATGGAGTCATTTTCCACTGATATAGGAAGCAAATCAAAGCCATTCACTGAGTTTTTCAGGTACTATTTTATATCTTAACTCTATTAAAATCTTAAAGGCAATTGCTTATCTTTTTTGAATGTTTCTAAGTTGTAACTTTGACTCGCTCATATATTGTCGCGTGGGCTTAAGATTTGGTCACTGGACTAATGAATTAGACAGCTGGAGCTTTAGTACTGGAACTCCTTTATTTGATTGGAAATTGGTAATTAATGAGGGAAATATTGAATTAGCCACAGGGTTGACTTTTTAAGTGAAAACCAATCAGAATGGTGACAAATTGGTAAATGAAATGGATTCAGTGTACCCCTTGTCCTACATCTTGTAATGTGAGCTTTTTCACTATATCTGAGGCTACTCAATGTTGGTATTTTGGCATGTTATATGATTTAAATAGTATCTTCTGTTTACTTATTCCTTGTCTTTATTGCATAAATTTTCTTGTCTGATACATGTATAACAACTTGTTTCACTGTGGATGTGATCTGGGAGGGCAAGGTTACCCTATTTGCTGGTATCAAATATAGTCATCCATGTTTTTTCTTAAGGCCTGTTTGGAAACCAGGAAAATAACCTCTAGAAAATGATTTCTGGGAAACGAGTTATTTTCCCGAAACATTTTCTATTTCTAGTGTTTGGCTTGAGGATGAAAACTGTTTATTTTTGTTTGGTTATTTATTGGAAAATGAAATTGGGTCGTTTGGTCCATGTAGCCGGCCCCAGATAGTGGGATCAGGCTTTGTTGTTGTATTTATTGGAAAATGAAAATCAGAGAAGCAGCACACCACTTGAACTAGAAGAGGGGATGCCTTAGAGCACTTGAACCAACTGAGGATACTAACCAATAGAAGAGACGATTTGGTTTACTCAGAGAAAGCCTCTCAGAATTTTTATGGAGTATTTTGCCTTCTTGTCCTTCGTTCTCTGAGAAAATTACCCAAGATGGGACTTAAACCTAGGCAATTTACATGAATAGGACTTATATGGTCCTATTGGCATGCATCTGCTATTTTCAATTCCCCGGATACCCTTTTTGCTTCTCCTCTTGTTTCTTCTTCTTTCTCATCTCCTTTTTTTTATTTTTCTTCTTTTATTCATTTTCTCGTTTCTTCTTCTTCTTCTTCTTCTTTTTTCTTTGTTTCTCATGTTTCTTTTATCTTCTTACATTCTTTTTTTCTCTCCCATTTCTTCCGTTTTGTTCTTCTTCATTAACACTGCCGTCATCCCTTGTTCACCGCCGCCATCTCCCATTCGCAACGACCATATCTCGTGTGCTTCCGCCATCCACTTCGCCCAACCGCCGCCACTACAATATCCTGTCACCGACATCTTCCCTTTGTAGTCTCCGTCTCGTCGTCCTATGTAAACATATTCGGCCACTGTGGGTCTGTAGCTTTGGTCAGAATTATCTGTTCTTTCAGTGGAAAATATTATTGTTATATTAGTGGAAAATAATGTCCTGAAGGAGGGCAGTAACATAGACCATAGTCTTAATGGAAGGCAGTAAACCATGACCAATAGTATGTTCATGAAGTACAGTAACTAAGATCATGCCAGTAATTTTTTTATAAAAGAAAAAGAATATAATTTAGATCTGTTTATAATGTTGGAGGTCAATATTTTCATATATAGTAGGCCGTAACACTAGTGAGTAGTATCTTTACAAAAGGCGGTAGGTCAGTATTGTGTATGTAAAAGAAATTTATTAAGAGCAGTTTAAAATGACGGAGGTCTTTAGGTCAGTATTGTGTTTTGAAGGCATTTGTATGTCCTGTACTTTAACTGGGGATGCGTTTTTGGGTGTTTATTTATTGTAATTCTATTTGTGAATGTGTGTAGGTTTACTGCGGGTGGTAGTGAAGATGTGACTAAAAGTCTTGGGAACAAGCCAGCTACTCGTGCCAGGAATCAGAGAGCTAAAACTCGTCTCCCCAACAAATTCAACAAAGTTGAAGCATGTAATTTTGGGGAGAAATGCCATTTCGGCTATGGCAACAGAAAGTGGGAGCATATGAGGCCTACAGGTGTGGGACAGGGGGAGGATGATCATGGTGCGGAACCATTTGTGTTTAAGCATGGAACTAAAGCAATTGTGATTGAACCCTCCCAAGTTGAAGAAATCAGCAGGTATTCGAAGCACATATGTGAAGTGACCGGAGTGAAGTTTGCCATTAAGGACTCACAGTATGGTGATCTCAAGATCGTTGAACTAGAGGGCAGCTCGGATCAATTGAAGCAAGCATTTAATATGCTTTATGTTTTTTTATTGGCCCTATGGTAAATATGAATATGCTCTATGAAAGTATATGAATATGCTCTATTATGTATGACAAGGATTTCATCCTGAGTTGCTGGTTGTGTACACTAAAAATCTATATATTCAAACTTTTCTTATTGTCTCCATCTTCCAAATCTTCTGAATTGATCTTGCATGTGTGTGTGTGTGTACACACACACACTAGCAAGGATCGCACTGTGTGCGATGAGTGCCCCAGTTGATGAGTACATCTTCTCTAGTTGGTATTGGCAATGTAATTGAGGTGAATTCAACTGTAATAGTTGCTATAAACCCCTTCTGTTGATTCAATATCTTCTGATATTTTATTCTTTTTTGATTGGACTGACAAATAAAGGAAGGGAAAGTTTAGACAAATAATGAGCACATTAGAGCAAAACCTTGTAGCTGCTATTTACGGGGAAGTTTTTAGTTTAGACATGCTAATATATATTTAACAATATAATGCACACCTCATAATAACAACTTATAGAAAAACTAAAAAAATAAGTGTGACCTTCTTCAAAAAAAAAACAAGAAAGCAGAGTCCATACATGTCATTGATGCTTGAAATACATTAAAAATTAATAATGCATCAAAGTGAGCATTGAAAAACATTACGGTAATTATAAATGAATTTACAAAAAAGTTAAAAGAATGGAAAAATATCTACAATGTGATGAGTCACACACAAAATGAAGTAAAAAAAAAAACTTCATTTTATAAACAACCCCCAAAGAAACAAATTTTTTACAATAATTATAAATGACTTTACAAAAAAGTTAAAAGAGTGGAAAGTGAAAGCTTCACATTGTTGTGAAAAGCATTGAAAAACATTACGGTAAGGAGAAACTAACGAATATGTTTTCTGTGCATTCCTTTAAAGGGTTAGATAATGTTTTGGGGTTTCATATAACTAACAATATAATGCAAGCTAAGTTTAATCATATGGTAAAATCTCTTGAATAAAAAACAACATAAACAATGTTTCTTGTTCGGTAAAGAAACAAGCAAAGTATCACTTGAAAAATAACTCATAAATTCATGGGATCCGACAGGGTCTTTTTAGAGAACTAAGTATAGTATCTCTTCATTCGTGTGCCCGAGGGTGTATTTTATGTAGCTCCGAACTCCCTAATTGTGAGGGATCGGATTGGGTCTCTTTAGAGAAGTAAGTGAACTTTTTCCCAAATAATTAACACTAACAAGACATCGCTTCATTGTACGTAAAAGATATAGATGATCACTAAATGACTCGTATATAATTTTTTAGGGAGAAAAAACAAGCATCATTAACAAATCACTTTGTGGATAATACAAACGACTCAGTATATAATTAGGAGGCCTTAAAACTGTATTTAGATGGCTGCATTCAAACGCACCCCTTGCTAGCATTCTTATAAAACTTAGACATCATATGTTTCAATAGGCTTAACATTCTGATAAAACTTAGACATCATATGTTTCAATAGGCTTACAACCACACTTATCGATCACCTCTTAATGAGGACCGCTCCAATGTTTCGTTCCACAAGCTTCTTTAATTGATCATACGCCCACTTGTCATCAGGATTTTCAGCGAAGTGCTGCTTCTGCCATTCGCCTATATCACGATTAAAGATCACCAATTTAACCCCCTCAACTCCCACCTGGAACACTTCAAAACCGGAAAAACATAACAGAACATATTCATCAGAACATAAAAACACAACGTAGGAGCCCTTACGTAGAGGCTTTATAATATAAGAACCACAATGCCCCAATCTTCTCCAGGCACAAACAAACGTGTAAGAATGTCATGACTTACCAGTGACACATTCACAAGCTTCACGATAAGGATATACAGAAAGACAGAGTGCTCCTTCCGTCATTTTAATGGCATCATCCATGGACATATGCTTGTGAGGCCTAAAGGAGACACGGGAAACGGGGAGAATTCTTAAGATTATCAGGCGGACTTGCAAGAACACAGGTAGACGAATCACTGGAGCAGTAGAAAATCTATTGAAAGTAATTTTTAAACAAAAAAAGTACAATTTCCTACAGCTTAGGAGTAAGGCAAGAACCATTAGAGTAAGAGGCATACCAAGTAATTAAAGAAAGTCCAGCGGAACCACATCCAGCTGAGCAAAGTGGGTGTTTCCAAATTTTCCCCTCAGCATCCACTTGATAAAGGGAAGGTCCCTACAAACAGAAAAATCAAGGATAGATTCCATTTGTATATGTGTGTGTGTGTGTGTGTGTGTTTGTGTGTATATATATAATAGTAAGCAAAAATAATGATCACAAAGAAAGGAGCATTCTAGAATTATAACCAATCTGTTGTCCAACCCAGCAATCGGAACTCCATAATACGTGCTCAGCAGAACACAACCGTAAAAGAAAGAAAAGAAAGAAAGGAACATATGGAGTATATTTTTACCAATTCCTTGTCCCACCCAGCAATCAAAATTCCTTTGGGCAAATCATCACCACTGTAAGATGTTTCACACCCAGCAAAAATCAGTTTTGGCAAACCATCATCATCCCTGCTGGGAAGGTTACGGGAGACAAGACCACACATCCACTTGGTTGCTTCTTCGGCAGAAGCTTTTCTCCCTACCTCGCGTTCATGTTCGTTGCACTAAAACAACGGGACAAATGAATTCAAGACATTCCACTGAAATCTTTTCAAATTTAAAGAAGAACACAGAGTCATATATATATATATATATATATATATATATATATATATATATATATATATAGGGGCCGGTTCCCGTGAGAATGCACCTTGTGGAGAGAAATGAGAATAAAATCTAGCCGTCGGATCTGGTGCATCGTGTGGCTCAGATTGCATCCTGCGCTCAGATTTTGAGATAGTGCATTTTTGAATGTTTATGGTGCATTTCGACGTGATGCATTTTCGAACTATTTTGGTGCATCTAATTTTGATGAAATCTTGACCCTTAGATCTCACAATCTAAAGAACCAGATTCATTCTCATTTCTCTCCTAAGATTGCATTCTCACCAGAACCAAAATCTATATATATATATATATATATATATACACACATATATACCTTCTTTTGAAGATAATGGAGGAATTCTTTGCGGGAATCCTTGCTGCCACCAGAAATAGCTACAAGCAGGTGCGGATGGGGCACAATGGCGTTTTCAGGAAACGCGCCGTCTGGTAAGCGTGGATGATCGATGGCTACCATAACAACTTCCTCTTTGAAGATGAACCCCAGAGTCGTGTTTACCTTCGCTTCTTCAAACCCTCCCATCTACGAATATCACCGCCGATAACAAATAAATCAACCAGAGAAAAGAACAAAAACAAAAACACCATTTCCATATATTTACACAGATCTGATCTGTTAATCCAAAAACACCTTCCTTCCTTCACCCGACCTAAACAAACCCAGAAAAATAAAATTAATCGGATTTTCATTGACCTAACACACGAGCCGATTTTACCTTTTCACCTTCCAGTCGATTGTAGATAATATTTGTATTCCTGCCGAATTGCTTCTAACACGATAGCCTCAAACCTAGATACACAAACATATATAATTCACAGCCTTCACAAACTTATTTTTTCTGAATTTTAAATTAAAGAAATCCCCATCAATAGCACAAAAAAACTAAAAAGTCTAAAATAGCACTGCTATTGGTTCTTTTACTTTCGTAGGAGTGAATAGTGTATTAGGCATGCATGATATTATTCCTAATCTACCCTTCTTTTAGTGCCGCAAAAAAAAACACCGCCACCGCACCCTAATTTTCTGCTTTAGATCCAATTGTTCTCAGACTTTTTTCAATGTCCTCGATGTTTGATAAGCCAAAAATCCAACCATGGATGAACTGAATTGGCAATGAAAGGTACCAGTTTTTTGATGATTTTGAAGTGATTCTGCATCACTTTATGTCAGCGGAGTACGATCACCATTGTGGATGCCCGATTGTAGTGGTAGATGAAGTGAAAGTGATTCCTATCAACTATGTTGAAATTTAGAATTCTCTACCGCCCCCCCTCGCTATCAGATCCACCTCTGTCTCCTCCGATACAACCGGGAGGCAGTGTGACACTGTAGTGGTGGAGGGTGGCAGTGTGGCGGCATGAGATGGCAGTGTGGCGACAGAGGGTGGTAGTGTGGCAGTGAATTTTATAGTGTGGTGGAAGAGGGAGGTAGCATGGAGGCGTTGATGGTTGTGGTGATGATGATAGTGTGGCGACAAAAGGTGGTGGTGTGACGTTGGAAGTCGTTGTGTGGCGTCAGCATTGGAGGCACTGTGGTGCCGGTGTGGTGGTAGTGTGGCGATGGAGGTGATAGTGTGGCAGTGAAGATGGTGGTGTTATGGAGAATTTTTGCAGTGTGGCGGTACAGGTTCGTGCAATCCGGCGATGACAATGGCAGTGTGCTGTGGGGGTGGTTGTGGAGGTGATAGTGGCAAGGTCGCAGTGGGTCGGTGGCGGATGCGATGGAAGTGAAGTGACGACAACGATAGCGTGGTAGTGGCGGCGGCACAAATTAAAGAGATATGTGGTGGTGGTGGGCGGCGACAGTACGTGTGGCGGCGGTGGTGGTGATGATGATAGTGTGGTGCGAAGGAAGGCAGTGTGGTGATATAGGTGGTAGTGACAATGGCAGTGTGGCAAAAAACCTGGTGCTAATTGCCATAAATTTGGTGAATCAAATCTCATATACTTATTATAAAAGGGCAAAATTAGCATTTCAAACACCCATTGCCATGCGGGACTTCCATTCTGAATAGTAGTGCTATTTTGGGCATTAATCACATATTCTAGTGCTATTTACGTACTTCTCCCATTAAAACATCTTTTATTATTTGAGTGTATCTTATTTTTAGGAAAGTGTTAAAAAGGTAAGTTTGTAAATTTTGTGAACGGTTTGTTTGTGACTCTAGCATTACTCGCCATTTAAACCCCGGCTCCATCCGCTTTGGTTGTAAATACAAGGGGGTGCATTAGATAACTAGGAAAAGCTTATCAAATCTAATTCTACCATAACTAGGAAAGTAAGGAAACAATCAACCCGAACCCATGTAGGATTCGACCTTCCTCCAAGGGTGCGGTCCAAGTATCCAACGTAACACCCCCCCACCCTCAAGCTGGAGCATGGGGGTTACGCGTGCCCAGCTTGGACAGTAAATGCGTGAATGAAGTAGCTCCAAGTGACTTAGTGAAGATGTCAGCTGGTTTATCTTCTTTATAATTATTTAGAAAGAAAAAAAGGACTGTTTTATTCAATACTATTTTAGATTTAATGAATGAAAATGAACACGGTCAAGATAGGTAAAAGGATTTTAGAAGAAATCTAAAATGGGACAAATGTGTTTATACACAAACCATAAGGATGCTATAACTTAACCAAAGGCATGTATGCCACCTTTATTTGCTCTTCAACCAAAGGCATGTATGTATGCCACCTTTATTTGCTCTTCATCTTACAAAGTGACTGGACATGAATGGATACTTAATGCTCTTCATCTTACAAAGTCACGATACTTTTTTTACATTGTCTAATGATTGAAGAAAACAAAGTGAAAATTACAAATTTAACTAGAATGAAATATTCAATAGTTGAAATATAACAATTCCATTTGAAATGCAATGTTACGACTTATCATCAACGACTAAACAAGAACACCACCTTAAAGATGCCTACACGAACAAGTCAAACAAGAACACTGCATAGATACGCCAAATTATTTCTCTTTTTTCTAATTAGACACGAATAAGTTCCCATGAGATTCACACATTGAAAGTCAACTAATTCGCATAGTTGAGATTAATTGTAGTTTTTGTAAATGTAAAGTCACATGTCTAAATTCTGATAAGGCATAATTTATTGTGTTTGACCCCGTTCCGCATCATTAGAGATTAGCTTTAACGTTTTAAAAAGGTTTTCTAATAGTGGCTTTTAACGTTAGCGTTATCAAAATGATAAGATTAATAAAAAAACGTTATCTTCAAACTGGGCCTTTTAACATGTTCATTGTAGCAGAGTTAGAATGAGCCAATTGTAACCCAATTGGCATGCCAAAGTGGAGTACCAATATCATACATCTGGATGTATGATATTTTCCGTACATCCTCTTGAATACTCATTTTCAAGTAACTGAATATTCAATTTCTACTATCAGAGTACACATTTTTGAGTAATTGAATATTAATTTTCGAGCATAATTAAATTTTATAAAAACAAATATTCATTTGCTCGAGAATGAATATTCCGTTATTTGTAAATGAGTACTCCCTCTAGATTTTCATCTAGATTAGGGAAACCACAGAGGTTTACAAATAACTTTTGAAAGTATTGGGGTTTTTACGCTCCTTTTTGTAAACAACATAGGGTTTACATTCTATTAACCCCGCATATACCCTCCAAAAGTGAGTCTACTCACTTACTCTTATTTCAACGGAACCTGTAGGATCAACCAATCAACGGAACCTCGCCTCGCACTCGGGATGAGAATCCTTAAACTGGCGCTGTTTCTGCTGCTATTGCGGCCGTTCCCGGCGGCTCACCGGCAAGCCGTTGCTTCCGAGGAGTGCAACGGCGGCATACCGTCGGTGGAATGGCGGACCCTAACTAAACGCAACTATTCCTCAGAGATCCGTCTCCATCCCCACCTTCTCCTACTCGTGACGGTCCCATGTATCTAACTCTCCTCTCTTCTATTCCTTTTGTTTATAATCAATTTCTTCTTTTCTGAATTCGGATATCCGGTTCATTTGGTTTATTTCTTCTTTTAGCAATTTGGCTAATTTTGATTATGAGAATGAATTTTGATTCATTTAGCGTATTTATTAAAAATTTATTAACTTTATCAAATAAAACCTGAAATTTCACATTTCGAGTTAAGAAAGACTAGTTTTAACGCAAAACAGGCCTAGAGTGTTCTGTAAATAATTCAAGAAAAGCTCAAATTGAAGGCTGACTGAAAATAATGGCTGGCCGAAGCCACATTTGTTCGCTTTACCCTAAAATCTTCTATTTTTATGTTCCAGTGGTAGTAGGTTCTTCTTTTACATATCCTTTTGGATCAAGTTAAAGTATTGTGTTTGTTTATAGCATTGACCTTAATGTTCCTTGACCAGGGTGTGGAGAGTCTAGGTCTCTTATGAAGGCATTAGGTCATGCATTAACCATTGAACCATGCAAGTTTGGCTCCCTAAAGCTGAGGGTACTATTTAGGAATAATGAGAAAATGCTGGCCGATGCTCTTGGTGCTAACAATGGAATTTCAGTTGTATATTATCATCATTCTGTGTATTACAAGTATCGCGGGAGACTTAGAGCTCACAACATATTATCATCCATCCATTATGTCATGTCATTATTGCCGGAAGAACTTCCTCTGAAATCTGCGAACACGCCAGAAGAGCTGAAAGATTTCATTGGTTCAACTGACAAAGCTTTACTTCTCTTTGAGTTCTGTGGATGGACTCATAAAGTGCTGGCATCAAGAAAAAACAATGGAACAGATTACAGGTTTGGTATGTATCACTTCTTCAATTTCTTTTTATTATTGTTATCTTACTACCGTTGTTATTGTTGTTGTTTTGGGGGAGGAGGCTAATGTAGTTTTTATTTCTGCCCTCTCAGTTAGGAATAAAAGATGATTTATCACGACACTATCATTGCGGAATTATTTAATTTCTGACATATCTACAACCACTATCACGTCTAATGCCCAATTACCAACACACCCTTATATTTTACTGTAGTTCATAGTTATTCTAATTTACTCGTAGTGAACAGTAGAGGGATATGTTCTGCTTTGTCTAACTTAAGACATAATTTTGCTTTGTTTTTTTCTTCAAAGTCCTTGAAGTAGGGAGATGGCACATTCCATGAGTGAGCAGACATGTGCAGTACTCAATTGTGTTCTCGTTAGATGGTGCATGATTACTTTTCAATATGATTGAAGAAAATATAAAAATAAATATTAAAGGCTGATTACTTTGCTAATTGATTTGAAATTCTCTTTCTCGATACCAGTATATATTAAAGGCTGAATTACAGTTTAACTACTCTTGCTCTGTCCATGATTACTCTTCTCGAGTTCCATAGCTAACACATTAGAAATATGGTACCATCAGCTTAACAAGTTTCACATTAATGACATTACTAATGGTCAGGATTGATTTTTAGAATGGAAAATTTTGCTTTCATTACAAATTTGGTTGACAAGTTCAACTTTTTACTAGATGAGGCTTTTTTCAGTTCATGTAGTTTCCTTCTTCATATGATAGTTCACAAAATTATAGCTTAATTAAGATTAGAGTATTACAGTATATTCATTGATGCTCCTGTATGTGGTATTTCTATATCCTTGTTTTTTTTATTTTTTATGGCCTTTCTGCATTATCTCTTGGACTAAGTTGCATTAAGAAGACCTTGACATTGTACAATTTAAATTTTGGGCAGGTTTGAATGAAGAGTACCATGGAGCAAGTGTTATTGAGAGTAAAATTCAGCAGGTGTGCAGATATTTCTCATTCTAAGGTC